ACCTCCGCACCCTGGGTTCAAGCGATTCTCCTGCCTTGGCCTCCTGAGTAGCTGGGATTACAGGCACCCGCCACCATGCCTGGCTAATTTTTGTATTTTTAGTAGAGACAGTGTTTCACCATGTTGGCCAGGCTGTTCTGGAACTCCTGACCTCAGGTGCTCCACCCGCCTTAGCCTCCCAAAGTGCTAGGATTACAGGCATGAGCCACTGCATCTGGCTGAATGTTTTTATCATGAAAAAGTGTTGGATGTTTTCAAATGTTTTTTCTGCATCTATTGAAATGATCATGTGGTATTTGTTCTATATTCTATTGATATAGTGTATCATATTAAATGATTTTAGTATAGTTTAGCATTCTTAGGCTAAATCCCACTTAGTCATGATGTAAACCTTTTTATATGTTGCTGGATTCAGTTTACTAGTATTTTGTTGAGGATTTTGCATCTATAGCCACAAAAGATACTAGTCTATAGTTTGTTATTTTTGTGATGTCTTTGGTTTTGGTATCAGAGTAATATTGACCTCGTAAAATGAGTTGGGCAATGATCCCTTCTCTCCTAATTTTTAAAAAAGTTTAGAAAGGATTGATATTAATTCTTTAAATGTTTGGTAAATTCTCCAGTAAAGCCAAGTAGAACTGGATTTCTTTGGGGAAGTTTTTAATTACTAAATCACCAGCTTGGGTTAGTAATTGTATTTGTATACACTAACAAGCTATTCATATTTTCTATTCTTCTTGAGTCAGTTTCAGCAGTTCATGTCTTTCTATGAACTTGTCCATTCCATCCAAGTTATCCACATTTTTTGGCATGTAGTTATTCATAGTATTCCCTTATAATCCTTTTTATTTTTATTTTTTTGAGACGGAGTCTCACTGCGTCACCCAGGCTGGAGTGCAGTGGCGCGATCTCGGCTCACTGCAAGTTCCACCTTCGGGTTCACGCCATTCTTCTGCCTCAGCCTCCCGCGTAGCTGGAACTACAGGCACCCACCACCACACCCTGCTAATTTTTTGTATTTTTCATAGAGACAGGGTTTCACTGTGTTAGCCTAGAGGGTCTCGTTAGCCAGGAGGTCTCCTGGCCTCTGATCTGCCCGCTTCGGCCTCCCAAAGTGCTGAGATTACAGGCATGAGCCACTGTGCCTGGCCCTAATCCTTTTTATTTCTGTAAGATTGTTGGTGACATTTCTCTCTTATTCCTGAATTCGGTAATTTGAATCCTCTCTTTTTTTCTTGGTTAGTCTAGCTAAAAGTTTGTCAATATTTTTTATCTTTTCAATGAACCAACTTAAAAAAATTGATATATCATTCACATACCGTAAAATATACCCTTCACTTCAGTGGTTTTTGTATATTCACAGAATTGTACAATCATCACCACAATCTAATTCTAGAACATTTTCATTAGTCCCAAAAGAAACCCTGTAGCCATTAACAGTCACTACTCATTACCTTCCCTACCCCACCCCAGCCCTAGACAACCACTGTTTTACTCTCCGTATGGATTGCCTATTCTGAAAATTTCATATAAACGGAATCATACAATATGTGGCCTTTTGTGTCCGGCTTCTTTTGCTTAACATAATGTTTTCAAGATTCATCCATGTTTTAGTATGCATCAGTACTTCATTTTCCTGACCATTCTTGAAGTTTAAACTTAGATATCTTACTTCCTCTAAGATACCTCCCCTAATAACCCTTGCTGCGAAGGGATAGAGACCCTTTCTGTGGGCTCCCATACCACCTTGGGGTTATTTTCATCATGAAGTAGTGTAGCTATCTGTTTTCCTGTCCACCTCTTTATCCAAACCGTGGAGTCCTTAAGTTGAGGATGATGCCTTTTGTCTCTATATCCTTGGCTCCTAAGACAGTGGCTAACGAACATATCCAACACATGCAAATATTTTTGCATCAATGAATGGTTGTTCATCCAATACCTGAACAGTGAAAACTATAGGCGAGATTGGGTGTGTTCCGGGTGGTATGTCCATAGATGGGAAAGCTATGGAAAATATAAAAGAGGGAAGTCTTCTGCAAAAACATTCCCCATGGAGTGAGCACGGTGGTGTGGGAGGTTCTGGTTGCTCACCTTTGTTTTGACCAAGGGCCCACGTGCGAGGGCACCTCCAGGTGTCTTCTGCTTTATTGGATTGGGTGGGAGCTTTTCTGAGAATGTTCTCCGAAATGTATGCTCTTCCTTTGAATTCTGTATTTGGATTACTGTCTCTACTTTCCTCTGGGTATCATGTCATCTCTGGAAATACAGTTCCTCTTCAAAATTACTCAATGTTAACCTTTCTGTCCCTCTTCATCTTTTTCAAGTAGCCTGTGATTCCCTGGTTGACACTGTGTTCAACACCGTGTGGACTTTGGGCTGCCGCCCCTTTATGAATAGTCAGCGGGCAGCTTGCATCTGTGCAGAGGAGGAGAAGGAAGAGTTATGAGGAAGAAGTGATTCCTTCCTGGTTTTGAGTGACACCACAGCTGTCAGCCTTCGAGATGTCAATCTTCAAGTCAGCGTGACTCATTCGTTCTTCCAACAGTTTGGACACCACAAAGCAGGAGAAAGGAAACATTTTTCTACACCTGGAAAGTGAGTCCTATCCTTTGAGGAAAATTGAAAAAAACATGGAGTGGTTTGAAGGCTACTCTTCATTTAAGACTGCTCTCCCCAACCAAGACACGTTGCCTGGAAATTCAGTTCTTAGCTTAAAGACTAAAATGCAAGAAAACCCTGCAATTCCTGGACCTGACAATTATATTCATGAGTGAAATTCTGGGGAGTCCAGGCATTTGGGAGGCAATGACTTTCTGCTGGCCCATGTTTCAGTTGCCAGTAAGCATCTCACATTTAATAAAGTGTACTTTTTAGAACATTTGGATAGAGATGAATGAATTCCATTATCACCAATATGCTTCCATTTCACTTAGAAGAGACCAAAACCCAACCTGGTAAGTTCCACCGATGATCACAGTTATTCCCACTGATGCTAAAAAGAGAAAACAGGTGGGCAGGTTCAGAGGCTTACCTGATTAAGGCCAATGGAGGGGAAGGTCAGATGGAATTAGATCTCTGAGGATTCATTTTTCCCTTCGATGACCTAACCCTGCTGGTGTTCCCAGTTACTAAATGATGTTAGAGTCATGCTAAGATCTGAGATGTATTTGATAAGAGTTACTAACGGAGCTGGCTAGGAAAAGTCCCTGCAGCCTGTCGGGAGTGAGAGACAAGTGGCCATTCCCTAACTTGCGGGTCACAACCCTAACCATGGATTAGAATCACCTGAGAATCCTTTAAAACAAACCAATAAAGAATACACACTGGTATTTTATAAATGTTTTCCAGGTGATTCTGCTGCACAGAAGGGCTGGGGGCCACTAATCTACAGCAGAAATTGGCCCACTAAGTCCTGTGGACCAAGCCTAGCCCAAAGCCTGTTTTTGTTGTTGTTGTTTATTTATTTGTTTGAGAGGGAGTCTCACTCTGCCATCCAGGCTGGAGTGCAGTGGCTAGATCTTGGCTCACTGCAACCTCCGCCTCCTGGGTTCAAGTGATTATCCTGTCTCAGCCTCCTGAATAGCTGGGATTACAAGTGCCTGCCACCAGGCCTGGCTAATTTTTGTATTTTTAGTAGAAACGGGGTTTCACCATGTTGGCCAGGCTGGTCTCAAACTCCTGATCTCAAATAATCCGACCGCCTCGGCCTCCCAAAGTGCTGGGTTTACAGGCGTGAGTCACCACACCTGGCTCAAAGCCTGGTTTTGAATCCTTTTTTGGAATAACCATGCTCACATTTGTTTACATATTCTCTGTGGCTGTCCTTGCACTACAACAGCAAAGTTGAGTAGCTGTGACAAAGACTGCAGGGCTCAGAAAGCCTAATACATTTACCAGTTGGCTTTTTACAGAAAAAGTTGTTGACTTCTATCTAAATCCTTTTCTCCTTGCCCTTACTTTTGTTAATTTTACTTTTCTACTAAGAGCTATTAAATGTAGCATTTTGTTTGTTTGTTTGTTTTTTGGGATTTGGGGTTTTTTTTGAAACAAGGTCTCACTCTGTCACCCAGGCTGGAGCACTACCATGGCTCACTGCAGCCTCAACCTCCTGAGCTCAAGCAATCCTCCTCCCTCAGCTCCCCAAGTAGCTGGAACCACAGTGGCACACCACCATGCCAGGCGAATTTAAAACAATTTTTTTGTAGAGACGAAGTCTCACTATGTTGCCTAGGCTAGTCTTGAGCTCCTGGGCTCAAAGAAATTTCCCACGTTGGCCTCTGAAGTGCTGGGATTCCAGGCATGAGCCACTGAGCCCAGACGGCAGCAACTTTTAAAAACTAAAAGCAGAAAAACTTTTCTGATCTTATGTAAAGGCCATAAAATTAATTGGCATATAAAGAAATTGGAGTTAACTGCAGATAAAATTTATCTTTGTGGTTTATATTTTTATTTTTTGTGGTTTATAAGTTTATTTCAATAAAACTTATTAAGTACCTACAAAACAGAGTATGGCAGAATTGTATACTTTTTTCTATTATCTTATCAACCTGAGGGTACAGAATACCAAATAACAGGGAATATGGTACCAAACTTTAATTCTGTTACATCTCATTGAAGCACTTAAATACATGTTGATGAATTTATTAATATTTATTAGGTAAAAATATTTCACTTAAGGCAATATATTAGAAGTATCAAAAGATGGCCGGGCACGGTGGCTCACGCCTGTAATCCCAGCACTTTGGGAGGCTGAAGTGGGTGGATCCCCTGAGACCAAGAGTTCGAGCCAGCCTGGTCAACCTGGAAAAACCCCATCTCTACTAAAAACACAAAATTTAGCTGGGTGTGGTGGCGCACGCCTGTAGTCCCAGCTATTCAAAAGACTGAGGCGGGAGAACTGCTTGAACCCGGGAGGCAAAGGTTAAAGTGAGCTGAGATTGCGCCACTGCACTTCGGCCTGGGTGACAGAGCAAGACTCTATCTCAAAAAAAAAAAAGAGAGAAAAAGAAAATAAGTATGAGACAGAAAAACCAAATACTACTTTTAAAATTATATACTGTTTTATTGATAAACTTCCAAATCCCCTATCATTAGTCTGCATTTGAATTGAAATTACAAGGTATAACTATTATTTACATATTTAAGGAGTCACTGGGTATTTAAGTCATAATTTCAGTAACTGTTTAATTTTTCTAGGGTTTATAACTTGAAATATTATACCTGGCTTCTGATTTTATGATCTGATTGCATTGTACACGAGGTATTTAAGTGTAGGAAGGAAATGAGAGAAATGGGGTGAGTGTTTTTCTGGGTAGACAGTTTAGTTTTCAGCCCTAGAAAGATGAAACCCCACCCAGGCCACGTTGTTCAGCAGTGCTGTGGCCTGTGCCGACCGAATGGACCAAATCAGAGTGAGTTGGTGCTGGGAGTCTGAACTCACAGTGTGAAGTCTGAGCCTAGGTGTTGGCGGATGTTCTTAGGGGGCCTGTGGGAGAAGCTCCAAAGAGCAGAGCCACCCAATACAGGGACTCGAGGTGTGGCTGCGAACTAGTCCTCCCAGTCGATACGGATGGGGCCGCCTGTTAGCGTCTGGCTCTGTAGACCGGCTGAGTCCTCTCCTCCTGCCCCGCGACGCATTCGCCGGTGGCAACCCTGGGCACAGCGGGAACGCTCGTCCAACACTCCACAGACAAGAACCCGGCAGTGCAGAAACACTTCCTGAAGAGATGATCACGGTTGTTAATAAAAACAATAACTGCTGCCACTTGGGGGGCACCCTCAAAGAGCCAGACACAACACTCAATGTTCCCAAGCATTAACTCATGTAATCTTAACAAGGACACCCGCAAGCAGAGGTTATCATCCCCGTTTTACAGATAAGGAAACAGACAGAGAGGTTAAGGAACTTGCCAAAATGTACACATTTAGTAAAAAATGTGGTAAAAGTTGCATTTAAGTCACGTGGGTGATTAAAAAACCCATATTCATAACTCCTGCATGGAGCTGGAACAGAAGAGGTCTTTGTGAAGCAACATCTACTAGAACATCTTCCTTCTTCACACCAAGGTCTGGGGATAGCATTGGCTCCCATGCACTTGTGCTGTCAAATAACCAGTGTTCTCTGCAAGCACCTTTCTGTAGGTAACTGCCTGGGCTTCCTGCCTGATTGAGGGCGATCAGGATCAGCCATCATTGTCAGCAGTTGTTCTGTAACCACGGTATAGCTGGAATGGACCCGCATATACTTACAAGCAGTGTGGAAAAGAATGTCGGCCTCTTCAACTTCCTTTTGTTTAAATGTTTCGACAACTACACTCTAACAACAATGATAAAAAAACTTTCAGCTTATCTCACTACAACCTTTTCTATATAGCCCTTTATAACCTCTATCCATGAGTATACATTTTTTTAATGTAATATATTTAATATGCCTGTAAATTGCTATGACAACAGTTTTTATGTCTGCTTTTCCCGTATTTATCATTTTAATAACTCTTAATATTGCATTAAATTGATATACTGTGGCCCTTAGCCCTGTTTGGGGCTTTTTCTTCTACCCCCTTATAACAATGCTCTACAGACACTTCCAACACACCTTGTCCGTTTTGGCTTAAAAATCTTTTTGGGGCCGGGCACATTGGCTCACACCTGTAATCCCAGCACTTCGGGAGGCTGAGGCGGGCGGATCACGAGGTCAGGAGATCAAGACTATCCTGGCTAACACGGTGAAATCCTGTCTCCACTAAAAATACAAAAAATAAGCCGGGTGTGGTGGGGACTGCCTGAAGTCCCAGCTACTCGGGAGGCTGAGGCAGGAGAATGGCATGAACCCGGGAGGCAGAGTTTGCAGTGAGCCAAGATCACGCCACTGCACTCCAGACTGGGTGACAGAGCAAGACTCCGTCTCCAAAAAAAAAAAAAAAAAAATTTTTTTTGTTTGTTTTTAGGGACAGGGTCTCATTCTCTCACCCAGGCTGGAATGCAATGGCCTGATCATAGCTCACTGTAACCTTGAACTCCTGGGCTCAAGTGACCTGCCTCAGCCGCCTGAGTAAGCTAGGACTACAGGTGTGTGCCACTATGCCCAACTAATTTTAAAATTTTTTGTAGAGAAGAGGTCTTGCTATGTTGCCCAAGCTGGTCTCAAACTCCTGGCCTCAAGCAATCCACTTGCCTCTTGTTTTGTTTTTAAGAAGCTGTCAGAATTGGAATTTTTAGATAAAAGAATATGATGATTTTATGATTATTATTACATATTATCAGACAATGTTCCAGAAAATGTACCAATTTATACTGTTGCTGTATACTTCTCCCTGTAACTTTGTAAGTGTTGTATTTTATAATTTTCATAAATTTAATATGTATAAAATGGTGTCTTATAATTGTTTTCATCAGCACTTAAGTACTATTTTCAGTGAACATTTCACTATTTGTCTTTTCTGTGAATTCCCTGTCCATATCCCTTGCCATTTGACCAATCACCACACCGACTTTTCAACCATAACTGCCCGCAAAGATTTTAAATTAAATTATGATCCTATAGTATTTTCTTTGAACAGCACAGTGATTTTGGCAGGCAGTGGGGTGTGACATGAATGAAAGGGTTAAGCTTCTCAATGGCCAGTTTCTCTGTATTTTTTCTTGAGCCCATGCAGATCCTCACAGTGGGCTCTTGGAATGTCAATATATTGGGACACCAAAAAAAAAAAAAAAAAAAAAAAAAAGGCTCAGGTTCAGGGGTTATAAATTAAAGATGTTCAACTCACCTTGTGGTCTTTGCCCACAAACTTGAAGACAGGGACCTGGAAGTGCTTTGCTAGGTGATCCCGGGATGTGTACTGCTTTACCGAGTCATCTGAAACACAGCTGAAAGTAGGGCAGATAGCACATAAGACTTGATTGCTTCAACAGAGGTGGAAAAACAATCTAGCCCAACATTTTGGCCCAAGGAGAGCCAAAGGGGTGGAGGAAGCTGGACTGTACTCAAGCTTTTTGGGAATGAAAGAAAAATTAAACTTTTTGCTGTGAAGGCCTCTTCAGACCTAGCCTTTTTCACTAATAGCGTCTGTCCCATTTGTCATTCGCTGTACTCACAAACTGGACACCAGGGCTTCCTGTTAAGTTAATGCGTTTAAATGTTGGCAACACCATTTATTTCAGATACCTTTTGCTAGTAAGGCTGTCTTTCCATTTGCAATATACTGCAGGAATTCTGCCTCTATGTACCTTAGTATTGATTTGAGAAGGCTTTTCTTTAACAAAATTTATTAACGATGTATTGGACACCGAATAGCAACTGACCACTGAAGGGGATACAAAAGTTAGGGAACTGCAGTGCATGCATCAAAGTGACATAAATATCCAAGTTTCTTAGATAATAACTGGTTTAATTGGATAAAAGTCATGCACCTCCAAATTGTTTTCTCTTTTCCCAAATTTAATGTTAAATTGCAGTTTGATAGAGTTTTGGGGTTTTAATCTCAGGTCTACTGCTTAAAGTGAAACTCCTAGGTTCACCTCAGGGTTAGCTGGGGGAAAAGAAGCACTCCTGGCTGGGCGAGGTGGCTCACGCCTGTAACCCCAGCATTCTGGGAGGCTGAGGCAGGAGGGTTGCTTGAACTCAGGAGTTCGAGACCAGCTTGGCCAACATGGTGAAACCCCATCTCTATTAAAATAATACAAAAAGTTAGCCAGGTGTCGTGGTGCCTGCCTGTAGTCCCAGCTACTCGGGAGGCTGAAGTGGCAGGATCACTTGAGCCCCGGAGTTCGAGATTAGCCTAGGCAACATAGCAAGACCTTGTCTCTAAAAAAAAAAAGCCAAGTATGGTGGTATCCCCCTGTAATCCCAGCTACTCAGGAAGCTGAAGCACTAGAATCACTGGAACCCCAGAGGTACAGACTGCAGTGAACCATGTTCGCACCAGCTGAGGCCAAAGTTTTGGATATTCATGAAACTTCTTATAGGCCAAGAATCACCCTCATATTATTTTTCCCATTCTAGATTCTAGAGGATTTTTTTTTTTCTGGACATAGTTGCCTTTTAGTGGGTACCTAATAGTTCCTGTCTTCTGGGCCAGGAAAAAAGTGGGGGTCAGATATTAAAGCCGATTAAACTAGGTTCTTGCTCCACATGCACAGACCACTTTTTTTTTGTTTGTTTTCTTCTTTTTTCATTGTGTTTTGAGACAGGGTCTCACTGTTGCCCAGGGTGGAGTGCAGTGGCACAGTCACAGTTCACTGCAGCTTCCACCTCCTAAGCTCAAGCAATTCTCCTGCCTCAGCCCCTCAGTGGGATTATAGGGGTGTGCCACCATGCCCGGCTAATTTTTTCATTTTTTGTAGAGATGGGATCTCACTATGTTGCCCAGGCTGGTCTTGAACTCAAGACCACTCAAGCAATCCTTCCACCTCAGCCTCCCAAAGTGCTGAGGTTACAGGTGTGAGCCACAATCGTGCTCAGCCAGACTGCTTTCTAGTTCCTTGCTAACTGCTGTTTTGGTGCACTTAAAAATCCAACAAAATTATTTTAAAATAAGGCATCTTGACTAGCGTTATTACCAGCACCTCATTCCACTGAACTGAAAAGGACCTAAACATAATGTGGTTTCAGTTATTTCTTGTATTTATTTATTCATTTTTATTTTCTTGAGGTAAAATTCATTTATACCCTCTTCTGATGATATTCTATAGTAGATATCCACAGCATACCTAATCTGTGCAGAACACCCTGCTGGCTGCCGCAGAGGACGTAAAGATGACTCATATGGTCTCTGATGTCAAGGAGTTTGTAGTCCAGTATCTTAAGATAATAGTAAGCCTTGATATTAAAATAGTACTTTTAATCTAAGTGCCTGAGCATTTTCAATTTATCTTTATCTCAAAATAACTGCTTTTTTCTTTAAAAGAAAAAATGAAGCAGAAGGGGTTATTACAAGGTAACACATTGCAGAATGGAAACCAGGACAAATGTTGGCTCTTGATTTGGGGTTTGCTGTGACTAGCCAATGCTAGTTCCGAGCACCAAATTCAGGCACTGAAAGTAACAACGGTATAATGGAATCAAAACTAATTCCTTATCAAAAACTTATTCAATGCTTGATTTTGAAATTTAGTATGTTTCTTTTTCTGGTAATTAACTTTCTAGCTATATTTTGCTTAGGCTTATGTTAAATCATTTTGTATTCTCAGAGCATATGCCAACAAAAATTAGAGGGAGATGAATCAGATGTGTTCAATATCAGCGGAGAAGCAACTTGATTTAAATTTAAGCCGAGGACAATGAAAAATCAAAGAAACGAATAATCAAACAATTTATAAATATAAATAAAGTGAGTTATGTTTATTTTAGGTCTGTGGACTAGCCCCAAATTATGATTATTATAAAGACTCTTTCAATTATTTACTTGGCAAATATTTAATGACCCTTACTATATGCTAGGAATTAAGGAAGAAGAAAAAGGAAGAAGGATTTTTAGTTCAAATGGAGAAAGGTGCCAGGAAAGTCTTCATGGAGGAAGTAAACTCTCCATGAATCTTGAAGAACCAGTAAGGATCAGACAGGAAGAAAAGGTGGGGAAGAAGACATCGGGCAGAGGAAACAGCATGTGCAAAGTCAGAAGGGTGTTCAGGAGTGACAGTTTGGGAATTGTCAATAATTCCCTTGGGCAGGAGCAGAAACTGGAGGGGCTGAGGTCAGACGGTAAGGGCCCATGAGCCACGCCAAGAGCTGGAGGATCTCGCACACATCATTCTTGTACAGCACCACAGACAGGATGATTTGCCTGCTTACAAAATAGGACCACACTGCTGTGGTTTTCACATTTTTGCCTATGCTTTTCTTCTTCTAGAGCATATATATTTTTTTCTCTTCTGTATGTGATAAGGACTGGCAAAATAAATAGTGCAGCTTCTTAGAATTGTCTGAAATAAAAGTAAATATGACTGGGCGTGGTGGCTCACGTTTGTAATCCCAGCACTTTGGGAGGCTGAGGCAGGTGGATCAACTGAGGTCAGGAGTTCGAGATCAGCCTGGCCAACACAGCAAAACCACGTCTCTACTAAAAGTACAAAAATTAGCTGGGTGTGGCAGTACATGCCTGTGGTCCCAGCTACTTGGGAAGCTGAGGCATGAGAATCTCTTGAACCTGGGAGACGGAGGTTGCAGGGGAGCCAAGATTGTGCCACTGCACTGCAACCTGAGCGACAGAGTGAGACTCTGTCTCAAAAAAGAAATAAAATAAAATAAAATAAAATAAAAGCAAATGGTCCTCACCAAGAGTCTGAATAACACATATATAAATAAGTTTCACAAGCTCTACTAAGTTTGTAGGTTACATGTTTTTCTCAGTGAGTTATGATTATATTCTTATTTTTTCAAAAACTAAATATAAGGGGCAGGAGCAAACTTAGGGTGAGAAAAATGTTCATTATCTTGATTATTTTGATGGCTTCATGGGTATACACATTAGAACTTGTCAAACTACATGCTTTAAATATGTCTATTTATTGTATGTGAATAGTACTCCACTGAAGTTATTTTTTTAAAAAAAAGTAAAAAGGAACAAAAATCTATCACTGCAAAAAAAGTAAATCTAGTTCCTGAAAAAATAAATACAAAATGTTGCTTCTTCTTTTCAGGTTAAAGCTTTTTAGAAAGCACCTTAGCATGGCAAGAAATTCACGTATCTGCAGATGCCCTCTGCTACTGGCCATCCAGAGTAGCTCAGGATGACAGACTTTCCACATTATGAAAATGAGCTTAAGGAGGCTACAAGAATCTGAGGCTGGAAGCACACCTTCTGAGAAGCAGACTTACTGACCAAAGCTAATAAAGAACCATTAAAAGGTTTTCAGCAGGGAGGTGACAAGATCAAATTTTCTGTTTGAATGGATCACCCGGGGGCTCTGTGGAGCTGAGATGTGAAAGTGAGGTTTCAGAGGCTGTGTCAAGAGGCTGCTTTGCTGTCCAGGTGAAAGATAATGCAGGTGGGAATTAAGACAATAGGAATGGAATAGAGAGGACAGGGTTGGGGCATTGCTATTTGATAAAAAGCATCTCAGTTGATCCTGTGTGCATTAAGGGATGAAATATCACTGTGCAAGAGATTGATAGCATCTGGTGAAGGTTGGCTGTGGTGAGAAACAAGAGGAGTAAAAGCAGCGTAGTAATGTCCAAGAGCCTGCAGGCCAGCCGGCAGAAGGCAAACCCCCAAGGGCACTGAGCGCCTCATACTGGACCATTCTCCCTTTGGTTAAGCTGCAGTTCCTGACCCCACCTGAGACTGTGTACCACCTGACATGGAGAACAAGGAAGAAGCTCATGAGATACTGCTATGAGTTTGGGTTTGAGTGTAATTTTCCTAGGAATGTAGGCAATGGCTGTGAAAAGGGCTAGGTCTCCATTGGTACCTCAGGACACCTACAGATCACACCAAGGATCCTTAGGAAATACCATGGAACTCTCTTGTATAAAACGAGTGCAGGGGCCGAGCATGGTGTCTCACACTGTAATCCCAGCACTTTGGGAGGCCAAGGGAGGAGGATCACTTGGGCCCAGGCGTTCAGGACCAGCCCGGGCAACGAAGTGAGACCTTGTCTCCAGAAAAAAAAGAATTAGCTGGGCATGGTCATGTGCATGTGGTCCTGGCTACTTGGGAGGCTGAGACGGAAAGATCACTTGAGCCTGAGGATCGAGGCTGCAGTGTTTGTACCACTGCACTCCAGCCTGGGTGACAGAGCAAGACCCTGCACTGCCCTCCACCCCAAAACCAAACTGCTATATCTATATCTTTCTTCTAAAATCTACCAACTATTTCTTCTCTGTCCTTGACTACCAAACTTCCTAAAAGAGGAATTTACGTTTGCTGCCTCCTTGTCCGCTGTACCCTCAGCCACATGAATGGGATCTCAGCCCCCACCTTCACATGTGCTCTGTCATCTCCGAGTAGGTTACTCAGTCCTACAGTTTCATCTCTAAATTGGGTGATTGTCTGTCCTTCAGTTCTAGTCCTGACCATGTTCCTGAGTCTAACTGATCATGCATTTCCACTGAACACTCACTGAATTTCTCTTCCTAGGCATCCTGCAGGTATCTAAAAAATTAAATTATTCAATATATCATTTTGAATGAACAAATTCAGTATTTTTACCTCAAATCTGCTTTCTATATACATCTTTTCATCTTGGTTAATGGCATCTGGTCAGTCACCTGGGTTAGATCCCTTGGAGCCTTTTTTTTTTTTTTTTTTTTTTTTAAGATTTTAGGAGTTTCGCTCTTGTCACCCAGGCTGGAGTGCAATGGTGTGATCTTGGCTCACTGCAACCTCCACCTCCCGGGTTCAAGTGGTTCTCCTGCCTTAGCCTCTTGAGTGCTAATTTTTGTATTTTGAGTAGAGATGGGGTTTCACCATGTTGGCCAAGCTGGTGTTGAATTCCTGACCTCAGGTGATCCAATCGCCTTGGCTCCCAAAGTGCTGGGATTACAGGCATGAGCCACTGCGCTCAGCCTAGGAGCCATTTTTGACTCCCCTCTCCTTCACTAGTTTTACCTCCAAAATGTCAGTAAGTGGTTCCTGAACTAATAAAGAGCTGACAGTCGTGCCATGCAGTTTTAGTAAATAACTGGGTGTGCTGTGAACTTAGAGGCTGGATGTGAACTAGGGGTGATGAGACCATTCCTGCAGCAGCATTACCCATCCCGGATGAGGTAGTATTTCAGGACCTCGTCGATCTTGGAGGTGGGGGTGGCGAAGCAGCTCTCCACCAAACTTTCCAAGCCGCTCACGTGCACCAGGGGCTCAATGCCAAAGTAGAGGGAGTCACGAAGCTTGAGGGTAGGCAGAGCTTCCCGGTAAGGTTCCTCAAACTCATTGTCCTTGAAGATCTCCAGAGTGAATGGGAAGATCCCATGATTTCGGCTCATGATTTCCAGTGGGGAGTTTCTAAGGTTGGGAACGTATCCTTCAGAAATGGTGTACAGGCATGGAAACTCGCAGGTCACTGGGATCAGCAGCTTGCTGGTTCGGATGATGACGTCCCCGCTGCTCCCCGGGGTCTGCTTGGGTAGACCTGTCACGAGGTTGCTGGCCACAATCTTGTCATTCACCACCTGAGCCAGGCCAGGGTGAGGAGAGGAAAGAGATTGTCTGTTTATTTCTACAGAGTTTTTTTATCCTCCCCTCTCACCTTAACATTCTACCAGCGTCTATCTACCTCAAAACACATTAGAGATTTGGTTGCCTAAGGCTGAGTTTTGTTTTGTTTTGTTTTTTCCCACTGCCCTCCTCTTTTTATCACGCCATCCTGACTGTTAAGAGTCTTAGGTCTACCAAAACACAGCCAGACTGCTTCTTTAAGTGGGACCCTGTTCTGCTCCTTATCTCTGGGGGGGACCTCCCAACTGGGGCCTCCTACTGGCTCTGCCCATATTCTCCAGCAGACAGAGTTTTGATTTCTACCTGCGATGGAGTGCCAAGGGGGAGGGGTAGGCTGTTTGGACAACTGTTTGGACAACTTAGCCATTTTAGCCTGCAGAGAGTCCAAACTGTCTAGAAGTGGACGCAGTACCCCAGGATGGCATAGCTGCTCTAGGAAAGCATGGCCACATGTCTTCTTTAAGCGGGTCCTCGATCCTTTTCCTCCTGGCTGGGTGAGATCTCCCAAATGGGGTATCCAGTCACCTCCTATAGGTGTGTTCAGGTAAGCAACAGGTCTGTACCCACTGGGATGGAGCTCCCAGAGGAAGGGGCAGGCCACCATCTTTGCTGTTTCAGCAACTTAGCTGTTTCAGCCTCCAGGCTTTGGAGAGCTCAACCTGACTGGGGGGTGATGGAAATTGTACCTCAGCACACTTCAGTTGCTCTATGAAAGCAGGGCTAGACTGCTTCTTTAAGCAGGTCCCCAATCCTTTTCTTCCTGGCTGAGTGAGACCTCCCAACCGGGTTTTCCAACCACCATCTACAGGTATGTTAAGACTGGCAACAGGTCTGTACTGTGCAGGGATGGAGTTCCCAGAGGAAGGGGCAGGCTGCTATCTTTGCTGTTTCACAGTCTTCACTGGTGATACCTCCAGGTACTGGAAAATCTGAGGTGACTAGGGACTGGAGCAGATGCCCAGCTAACCACAGCAACCCTACAGAAAGGTGGCCAGACTGTTAGAAGGGGGGAAAAAAGGCCAACTCAGTACACCTGTAATCCCAGCACTTTGGGGGACCCAGTCAGGTGGATCACCTGGAGTCAGGAGTTCGAGACCAGTAGCCAACATGGTGAAACCCCATCTCTACTAAAAATACACAAAAATTAGCCAAGTGTCATGGCATGGGCCTGTAATTCCAGCTACTCAAGAGGCTGAGGCAGGAGAATCGCTTGAATGCAGGAGGCAAAGGTTGCAGTGAGCTGAGATTGCACCACTGCACTCCAGCCTGGGTGACAAGAGTGAGGGTCCATTTCAAAAAAAAAAAGTGGGAGAACAAAACCCCCCAAACCCCATCCAAAGATCAGCAACATCAAAGACTGAAGGTAAATAAGCCCTCAAAGATGAGAAAGAATCAGTGCAAGAACACAGGGAAAACTCAAAAAGCTAGAGTGCCCTCTCTCCCCCAAATGACTACATCACCACTCCAGCAAGGGTTTGGAATGGGGCTGCAGCTGACATGGCTGAAATAATAGAAGTGGACCTCAGAATGTGGATAAAAACGAACTTCGCTGAGCTAAAGGAGCATGTTCTAACTCAATGCAAGGAAGCTAAAAATCATGATGAAACATTATAGGAACTGACAAAGAAAATAGCCAAGATGGGCCAGGTGTGGTGTCTCATGCCTGTAATCCCAGCACTTCGGGAGGCCGAGGCAGGTGGATCACAAGGTCAGGAGATCGAGACCATCCTGACTAACACAGTGAAACCCCATCTCTACTAAAAATACAAAAATTAGCTGGGCATGGTGGTGTGTGCCTATAGTCCAGCTGCTGGGGAGGCTGAGGCAGGAGAATGGCATGAACCTGGGAGGCGGAGCTTGCAGTGAGCTGAGATTATGCCACTGCACTCCAGCCTGGATGACAGAGTGAGACTCCATCTCAAAAAAAAAAAAAAAGAAAAGAAAAGAAAATAGCCAAGATAGAGAAGAGCATAACCAACCTGATAGAGCTAAAAAAAACACAAGAATTTCATAATGCAATTGTAAGTATTAATAGCAGAATGGATCAAGCAGAGGAAAGTATCTCAGAGCTTGAAGACTGTCTTTCTGAAATAAGACAGGCAGACAAGAATAGAGAAAAAGTAATAAAAAGGAATGAACAAAACCTCCAAGAAATATGGGATTATGTAAAGAGACTGAATATACGACTGATTGGAGTACCTGAAAGAGCTGGGAGAATAAAACCAATTTGGAAAACATATTTCAAGATATCCATGAGCGCTTCCCCAATCTTGCTAGACAGGCCAACATTCAAATTCAGGAAATGCAGAGAACCCCAGAAAGATACTCCACAAGAAGATCATCCCTGAGACACAAAATCTTCAGATTCTCCAAAGTTGAAATGAAAGAAAACATGTTAAGGGCAGCCAGGGAGAAAGGCTAAGTCACCTACAAGGGAAGCCCATCAGACTAACAGTGGACCCTTCAGCAGAAACCCTACAGGCCAGGAGAGACTGGGGGCCAATATTCAACATTCTTAAAGCAAAGAATCTTAAATGGCCAGGCACAGTGGCTCGCACCTGTAATCCCAGCACTTTGGGAGGCTGAGGCAGGCAGATCACTTGAGGTCAGGAGTTTGACACCAGCCTGGCCAACATGATAAAACCCCATCTCTACTAAAAATATAAAAATTTGCCAGGCATGTATGTAGTCCCAACTACTCAGGAGGCTGAGGCAGGAGAATCACTTGAACCTGGGAGACAGAGGTTGCAGTGTGCTGAGATCATACCACTGCACTCCAGCCTGGAAGACAAAGCAAGACTCTGTCAAAAGAAAGAAAGAAGGAAAGAAAGAGAGAGAGAGAGAGAGGAAGGAAGAAAAGAAAAAGAATTTTCAACCCAGAATTTCATATCCAGCCAAACTAAGCTTCATAAGTGAAGAAGAAATAAGATTCTTTTCAGAAAGCAAATGCTGAGGGTTTCAACCCAGAATTTCATATCCAGCCAAACTAAGCTTCATAAGTGAAGAATAAATAAGATCCTTTTCAGAGAAGCAAATGCTGAGGGAATTTGTTACCACCACACCTGCCTTACTAGAGCTCCTAAGGAAACACTAAATATGCAAAGGTAAAACCACTACCAGCCACTATAAAAACATACTGAAGTACACAATGACAGGATCAAATCCACACATAATAATACTAACCTTAAATGTAAATGGATTAAATGCCCCAATTAAAAGACACAGAGTGGCAAACTGGATACAGAGCTAAGACCCATTGGTATGCTGTCTTCAAGAGATCCATCTCACATGCAAAGACACACATAGGCTCAAAGTAAAGGGATTGAGGAAAATTTATCAAGCAAATGGAAAACAGGAAAAAGCAAGAGTTGCAATCCTAGTTTCCAAAAAAACAGACTTTAAATTAGCAAAGATAAAAAAAGACAAAGAAAGGCATCACATAATGATAAAGGGTTCAATTCAACAAGAAGAGGTAACTATCGTAAATATATATGCATCCAACACAGGAGCAACCAGATTCATAAAGCAAGTTCTTAGAAGCCTTCAAAGAGACTTAGATTCCCACACAATAATAGTGGGAGACTTCAACACCCCACTGACAATATTAGACCATCAAGACAGAAATTAGCAAAGATATTTAGGACCTGGACTCAGCTCTCGATCAGTTGGACTTGATAATTATCTATAGAAGTCTTCACCCCAAAACAACAGAATATACATTCTTCTCATCACTACATGGTACTTACTCTAAAACTGACCCATAATCGGAAGTAAAACACTCCTCAGCAAATGCAAAATAACTGAAATCATAACAGTCTCTCAGACCACAGCACAATCAAATTAGAACTCAAGACTAAGAAATTCACTCCAAATCATACAATTACATGGAAGTGTAATAACCTGCTTCTGAATGACTTTTGGGTAAATAATGAAATTAAGGCAGAAATCAAGAAGTTCTTTGAAACTAATGAGAACAAAGATATAACATACCAGAATCTCAGGGACACAGGTTAGGCAGTGTTAAGAGAGAAATTTATAGCACTAAATGCCCACATTAAAAGCTATAAAGATTTCAAGTTAACAACCCAACATCACAACTAAAAGAACTAGAGAACCAAGAGGAAACAAACCCCATAGCCAACAGAAGACAAGAAATAACCAAAATTAGAGGTGAACTGGAAGAGATAAAGACACAAAAAAACCATTCAAAAGATCAACAAATCTAGGAACTGGTTTTTCCAAAAAAGTTAATAAAATAGATAGACCACTAGCTAGACAAGGAAGAAAAGAGAGAAGAATCAAATAAGCATAATCAGAAATGATAAGGGGATATTACCACTGACCCCACAGAAATACAAACAACCATCAGAGAATATTATAAATGCCTCTATGCATGTAAGCTAGAAAACCTAGAAGAAATGGATAAATTCCTGGACACATACATCCTCTCAAGACTGAACCAGGATGAAGTTGAATCCCTGAAGAGACTAATAATGAGGCCCTGAAAATGAGGCAGTAATAGCCTACAACCAAAAAAAAAAAAAAAAAAAAAGCCCAGGACCAGACAGATTCACAGCTGAATTCTACACCCTGTACAAAGAAGAGCTGGTACCATTCCTACTGCAACCATTTCAAAAAATTGAAAGGGAGAGACTCTTCCTTAAGTTGTTCTATGAGGCAAGCATTATCCTGAACCAAAATCTGGCAGAGACACAACAAAAAAAGAAAACCTCAGACCAATATCCTTGATGAACATTGATGCAAAAATCCTCAGCAAAATACTGGCAAACTGAATCCAGCAGTACATCAAAAATCTTATTCACCACAATCAAGTAGGCTTCATCCCCAGGATGCAAGGTTGGTTCAACATATGCAAATCAATAAATGTGATACATTACACAAATAAAACTAAAGACAAAAACCATATGATTATCTCAACAGATATAGAAAAGGA